TTAACTTGAAAATGGTGCCAGGATGACACCGAAACGTCGTTGCTCAGTTTTTTCGCTAATCTTTATTGTTAACTGTATTTCCAAATTTAATCTTATAAAAATAAAAACGAAAAAAAAAATGACAGAGGCAAGTGCCCCTGTTTGCCTGTTACTAGCTATTGCCCTGGATTAAGAAAAACAATCCGAAATGAATGTGTGACTATAGACTTACGAGTCTTTTTAGAATACACATATGTCTGGTATATGATTATATACGGCATTTTCACTCAGCAATTTTCCGATCCCTTTTACACTAAGTATAGCTCTAACTTGCTGTGTTCTTACAAAGGTTCGTTTTTGATGAATTAGGTATTAAAATTTCCGTTTGTAGGCCTTTTCATTTCATAAGATTCATTGGAACTTCGCCTTTCTCGTCCAATGTGAGGTCGATGTTGAGGAATTTATGTCAGCAGGTAACGATAGATATAGCTACAAAAACTACAAGTATTTAGTATAAATATGCTAGTGTTCTATCACGAATGCCGCTCTCTGATTGGCTGCGCTACTCACTATCTTTTCTTGTGACAGGTAGTGAGTAGCGTGGCAGTGTGCCCTCGTTGACAAATTGACGGACGCTTCTTGGCGTTTTCGAAGTGTCTGTGAAGAGGATTTAGAGAAAGTTTTGAATGTCCAGTAGATGTATACTAAAAAAAAAAATACATTATTCGCTCTCGATTCTATGCGCGATAGAAATCTCGAGCTCATAATCTAATTGTTTAATTGCTCAAGTTCGCAGGTTAAGAAAACCTGCTGTCCCAGTTGCATATTTTAGATAAAACAGCTTTGTGTTCTCTCTCTTCTCTTACTTCTTCTTTATTTTTGTTCTTTTCCATTATTACAGATTTCTCTTGCTCTGAATGATACATCAGCTGTCATTACAGATAACTATGAGCGTCTGGTAGCAAGATTTAGGTCGCTTCTCCAAAGAGCCACAGCAGAAAAACCAATCGGTAACCAATAGTTTCACTTATATTTGATAGAAGCGTTTACCCACTTATTTCTTGAGGGCACCTTGAGAGTGTTGGTGACCCAATGTATAAAAATATTATCAGCTACAAGGAAGAGTTTTCATTTTTTTCTCAGTTCTGTTCCTTGACTCTTTGGATCAGCTGTCCGACCAAGATGATGGTCGCTCACTAAGATGGCTGCCGACAAGTCTGCCAAAAAATGTTCACATTGTCGTGAGCACCTTGCCTAACACAGGAGGATGCCTTGCTGTTCTGAAAACTAAACTGAAACCGGAGAGCAATCCTGACTTTTATCTTGAGGTACGTTCAATTTTGCCCTTTTTAACTTCACTTAGCTAAAAGTGCGAACGATCAATGTAGAAGAGGAAGAAAACCTGGTCTAGTGACAATTTTTATTTGTCACATAAAAGATAAAATGGCAGCTGTTTAACAAATATATTTTTCCAACCAGAGGACAACGCTGACTTTTATCTTGAGGTACGTTCGGTTTTGCCTTTTTCCTCAGTTGTAGTTTCTCCAAGTTCACTTAGCTAAAAGGATTTGTTACTTGGAATTTGGCCAACCTTCCTCATCTGCACGAGCAAATAAGAATTGTAACATAAAAATTGTAGATCAGACTTAAATGTGCCTTGTAACTATCGTCCTTTCCAATTTTCAACAACGTGAATGGTTCTTGATGAAATTTACTTAAGTTGGGCAACCCTGAAATCATTATGATACAACTTAGTAGATCTCTACCACACTTGTCATTACTTAATTAGTTAAGCGTCACACATTCCCTGACTTTTGACATTAACTCTTAACGCTTAAGCACCTTGCAGTTTTCTGAAAACAAACGTTCAAATTCATGCAATAAGAAAGATATTACCCTTCGTGTGTTAGCGATAAGGGGACAGAAAGCCTTTTATTGAAAGTATTCTTCCAGGTATAGGAAAAAATATAATATTTTAAAAATCTAAACCCGCAATTAGGTTGATAGCAGTGTTAAATGTCATTTTTATTCACTACTTTTAACAGGTGTCGGCCCTCGAATCGAGTGATGCCGAAAGCATTCTGGACACGAGACTGGAAAACGAGAAAAGGTACAAGTGTCTGCTGATTTATCAGCCAAATCCGACTCAAGTAAACTCAGGCGCTCTTTTATATTAGCAGCGTGATTCTTCCGAAACCGCCTTGCTATAGTTATATCCAATGTCTGCCTTAGTTAGACCTTTTCCAAGATAACGCCTACAAATTGTGTTCATCACAATTAGACCTATTTCTTGCCAACTTATCAGAAGTTTTCTTAAGCGCAATCAGTAGTTTCCACACATAAGGCTTAACTATCGGGAAGAGGGCCGACCGCCAGGATCGTATATGCTTCGTCTTAATTCCATTTCCTTTTAAAATTAATTCATTTTGGCAGGAGACTCACGGGAGAGCAAAGAATGCAAGTATTGGAAACCTGCTCCAAGCCAACAGCTCTGTATATGAAGTTAGCCTGTGATACAGCAATTCGATGGAAATCATTTTCTGAGAACACGCAGAAAGAACTAAGACCCACAGCTACCGAACTAATCATACAGCTCTTTGAGCGGTACGTGAATCCGGCTACCTTCTTGTGTCATTACAAAGAATTTGATGTGACCTAGGCCTATTTCTTTGTTGCTCCGGATTGGCGTTTATAATTTTTCATTGTGTCATTACAGAAAAGTTGATGTGACCTCCTCCTCTTTTGTTGCAATTGCTCCAGAATGGGTCTTTGTAAGGAAACAACATTCTCTACACTCACCCTCTTTCTCTTGCACCTAAAAAACAAGTTAATTAACCTTGGATACACTTCAGGAGCACCCAACGACCGTTTTCTCTCGAATGCTTCAAACGCTTTTTTTCAGGCTATCTGGAGTACTTTTAAAGTTCCGCAGGTTAATTTTAGGTTAGGCTAAAAAATTTTTATCTGTTCGGTTATTCTAGGGGAACTTGAATATTCTCGTATTTATTAGTGCTTTTTTGTCCATTTCCCGAAAACGTTAGGTCTTATCGCCTTTCCTAAAATGATAGCTGACCTTTTTTCGGTACCCAAAACGACATTAAATTTATCATATCACGAACGTTCGAGGTGACAATTCTCTTAAGAAAATCAGAGGGGATTAAAGGCCTTCCTGACACTTATCTTCCTCATACTGTCGATTTCCTAAGTTAAACCGATAAAAAGATTCCTCGTCGTTATCGTTTTGAATTGATTTGATTTTGTTGTTGTTCCTGTTGTTCACTATCATTTCAGCTTAGTCACCGAACATGGGGAACAATTTGTTCGTCGAGCCCTGGGTTACATTACAGCGTCCAAAACAGGTCTAACGAAGTCAGAACTGGAAGATATCTTATCATGTGATGATATTGTGCTCGCTGACGAAGTCTTTAAATACCACGTTCCCCCAATCAGAAGACTGCCCCCGTTACTGTGGACACGACTCAGGAACGACCTAGGTAACAAACCTTATTTGCCTTAATTGGTAATTGAAATAGAAAACCTGAGGTGATATCTTTCTGCAGTGGTTGTGTATCCTGTTTTACACTTAAGGGAGGTTCGTTCAGAACGAAACATAGAGACTTTCGTAAAAAGGGTGCATTTTCAATATGCCGTCCTATAATAGATGTCGAGGAGACACAGTCTTCAAGGAAAAGCTTTTCCACGCGAAACTTCTCTATCTAATGTGTTGAATTCACTTTAATTAGTTCAACCCAAAATGTACCGACTCATGCATTTCTTCTGGTGAATCTCCGCAGGGAGAAACACATAGACATCTTTTTTTAGTCAAGAGGCTACCTTAAAAGGCTAATTATTAGCACGAATAAAGGAAAACCTGCTTTTCAGTACCAGAGGTTTCACATTTCTTTATCCATTGTAGGTAGTTACTTAGTCAAAGTAGCAGCAGATGGTCACGTGGTGTACAAGTGGTATCACAGATTGTTCCTGGAGGCTGCGAGAAGTTACTTTCTAGGTGATAAGCCTTTTACAGACTCACTTCACAGAGATCTGGCAAACTACTTCAATGGCAGGTAAATAATAAAGTACGACACGCCTGTCAAGTGTTCCTTAC